AGACACATCCCCAGTATCAGACAGAGAAATGTCTTCTGAAGACTGTCACGCTTTTGACAGAAATCCTGGTCTTGCAGACAGAAGCATCAAAAGCGTGCGCAGAAAGCGAAGGCTGTTGTTCTTACTTTTTTCCTTGCCTTGCCCAGGACACATATTTGGACTATTTCCATTCTACCTGTGTCCCTTCACAGGAGGTCCATACACTATTAAGTTGCATGAACAAATCTTCCATCTGACACCCACTTCCACTTGAGCGCTCAGCTAGAGTTTTCAGTGCAACCCCAAGTCGAGTTTCTCTCTGCCCTAAACATTTGAATCCATTCTATTTCCTCATGTTGTGCTTTAGTCTAATGGCATTATTAATGGTAATACAGTAATATTTAACATCAGCTGTTTTTCTTGAACAGCCTAAGATGAAAAATAAAATAGAGAGCACACCATGGAAATGCCACAGTTGAAACGGCTGTTAAATTGAGATGAAACAAAGAAATTGTATTGGAGAAAAGAAAGAAAAGAAAAAAGGACAGTCAGAGGTGTTAGCTGTGTTGTGCTGGGCCAGGATCTAGCACTCTTTGTGATTTCCCTTGTTTCTTTGGTTTGTCGGTTACTTAAACTAGTAGATCCTTACTGATGTTCCTCTGTCACTGAAGGGCCGGTTTGTCGGTTGCTTAAACTAGTAGATACTTACTGATGTTCCTCTGTCACTGAAGGGCCTTTATGCATACCTTTTAATTCTCCTTATTTTTATCGAGCATTTTTTGATGATGAGCTCAATGAGACACAAAAGAGTCTACAGCCAGAAAGACTGGTGTATTCAGATGGCTACTAATGCCAGCTCTGAGGGTCAGTAGTGTGTTCTGTTAGGACATGGTAACCACCTCCATCCATGTTCTCTTATCTAGGAGAAGATCACAGGGGACTGACAAGATGCATTTTTAGGCACTCAAGTCTGCATTTTTCACAACTCTGCATGGGGAATGTATACATTGAGAGCGTACCGTATACGTTATACATCACTTCTTGTTAGTGCCTACTGCATTGAGTTGGATCAGAACAGTATCAACTCCATTCTTAAACTGTCTACGGTCAGACTGTAAAATATGTCCTTAAATACCAAGTATTCTTTTAAATAACTCTGATTTTTTTGTGCAGTGCTAGCACTTCAAATGTTGCAAGAATAGAAGAGATGGAGAGGCTTCTGAAACAAGCGCATGCTGAAAAGACTAGGCTGCTTGAGACCAGGGTAAGCATAATTCTATGAGTAAAACTAAGAGTGGGCATGTTAGATAATATTCTCCTAAACACAACGTTGGACCCTAAATAGCTTACACCTAATAGACACTTAAAAAATTACCTCTCCCCGCTTTGTGTGGTCTGGTTTCAGCCTCATACTACATCTTTGAGTCCTTATGCCATAGCTGCTATCTCAATGGTGAGCTGATGGCAAAAATCCCACCAGAAGCTAGGTCAGCATTTGTCCTACACCTGCTAGGAGAGCTGCTTAAGAAGAACCTTCATTTCTAGACTGGTAATATTGGCAATTCTGATTTCAATTCTCAGACCACTTTTCTGGATATATATTTCTGACTACTAAAGAGGCAAAAAAGGATTTACTCCTAGCTTAGAAATTACATGACCAACTATAGTTTCACATATAATTGAAGTTCTGCATGTGCTGTGGTATTTAGGAACGGGAGATGGAAGCTAAAAAACGGGCTCTGGAAGAAGAGAAGCGCCGCAGAGAACAACTAGAGAAAAGACTGGAAGAAGAAACTAGCCAGAGGCAAAAATTAATTGAAAAGGAGGTCAAAATACGTGAGAAACAAAGAGCACAGGTGAGATATGTTGACATGAAATGGTTTTTAATTGCAAGACTTCCCCTTGATATACAGAAGGGACTAAGTGTATTTCTGCCAATGGTAAACAGAACTGCTTTCACTTGAATAGGTGGATTTAGTATTTCTGGCAGCATTTAGTAACCGTGCTGCTAAAAGTATATTTGGGCTCTTGGAGCCTTAGATGTCCGAGTATTCCTTTAAAGTTAAATAATAGCATAGATATCTATTTAGCATCTTATATCTAAAGTATAAATATTAATCCTATAAGGTTTGTTACTGAGTATGGGCAAATCAGAATTTTTTTGGCCTGAACAACAGAAATTTGTGAGTCTGTTAATTTTATAAAGCATTGGTGTTTTTTTTCTTTCTTTCTTGTAATACATAAAATATCTTGGAATGTGAATTGTCGCTTCCAAATATTTGACTGGGGGAAAAAACCAAACAAACAAAACCAAACCAACCAACCAAACAAAAAAAAAAAAACACAACAGATAAAGAAGTTTTTCCAGCTCCACATCTACTGGAGAGAGGAAATAGTGTTTTTTCTAATGTTACTGGGACTATACAACATGAGAAACATTGTTTAATTAAAACAGTGTTACCTCCTACATCTTCTTGCTGCTTGTTAAGATTCAGAGGTATCTTGAGCTTTCTTTAGGCTTAGAGGTCTTACCTATTTGTTTATTCCACCACAATTAATAAGAACTACATGGTACAGCAAATAACTAGGCAGTCATTTTATTGTTAGTATAGAATAGCAAGACAATGTCTCCATCTTAATATATGTATCAGGGTGCAGAAGATTCCATATCATATTTGAATATCTTTCTGCTTTTATCTGTGCTACCTTTGCTAAGTCTTTGTTTCATGAGTTACTATTATATTTTTTTAATGAACATTCCTACATAACTTGCCTTTCTAATTGATAACGCTAAATCAGAACAATAGGGCAACCCCACAGGAACTTTAAGCTGTTTCTGGTTAAATTTATCCATTCCTTTGTTTTTATATAAAATGTAATTACCAAATGTTAAATTTTATGTGTACTTTACTTGAATGCCTTCTTTTTTTCTAAGAAATTTTAATGACAACTCAAGTATGGCGTAAACAGCAATGCAATGCTTCTATCTTTATCCCAAATTGGAACGTGCATGTGTTGTAATAGAATGCCCGATCAGTTACTGCTAATTGGCAGACTTGGCAGAGAGGCTGAAGAATGAACTGGCAGGAAGACAAAACCTATTCGTCAAAAATAACTACGATTTTTTTGTTAACTTTTTTTTCCTTTGTACAGGGGTGTCTTTCCCCCCCCCCCCCCCCAGCACTTCCTGATACTTAGAAACGTAAACTAGGGGAAGGAACTCCACCTTTGCACTTGCCAAAGCTGGTGCCAGCTTGTATTGTACAGGACTGCATAATTTTACAAAGGTGCTGAGAGTTCTTGCGGGCAACACAGCTCCCATTGCACCAGGAGGTTCTTGAGAATGCAATGAAGGGAAAGTCCCTTCAACTTGTGACTCTCAGTGGGATTTAACAGGCTAACTTTACGCACGGAGCAGGGGCAGATTAGGTTCTCCAGGTCACTGACTTGTCTGGAGTCAGGGGAGAGAGGGAGGGAGAGGGAGATGCTCCTTTCACAGGTCATTCAAAGCACCTGAATTCAGCTTCTGTTCTGAATCATCCTGTGATGTCGCCTCTGTCTGCCTTGACTGCAGCAGAAGCCTTGAGAGACTTGGCTTCTCTGTTTAAAATGAGGGGGGGGATTTGTACATAGACCCTTCAAGCACAGAAAACAAGCATGTTCCCTCTGCTGGCAGAGGTCCCAAACCACTACCACCTCCTGCTTGTTCTCCCATCTGACACTATCCCACCTTGATGTGGAGTCTTGAACTGCAATCAAGAATGAGGCACTGTTTTCCTGCGCCGCTTTGCCATCTCTTGCAGAGGGCTGCGTATCAGCGCTCTATAGCTTATTGCCAACTGTGAACTAGATACCTCATTTAATTCCTTCAGAAGAAAATAATTCTATTTTGTTCACAGCAACCTCTGTGAAACTACCCAGCCATTACAGTTCACTCTTGTTATTATCTTTTCCTGTAACAGCATGTTGTTATTATTTATATTATATTTTGATAATGAAAATACCTGTAGCAGTACAATATTAATGAATGAGATGTGCGTAGTGAGTATCTAGCCCAGAGAAATAAAGGGTTTGCTTAACATCATGCAAATGAAGTTCTTACACTTCATCTAAAGCAGCAACACTCCTTTACATTTAATTAGTGTTTTAACTCTAAAACAACCTTTCTATGCTGTGGCCCCTGTTTTACCAGGTTATCAACTGATGATTTCAAGAAACTCCTATGCTCTAATCTGGCTTTTATAAAGTTATCCAACACTTTGTAAAGTTACAAGTTTTAAGGATTTTTCTTTTAAAGATGGTAAGGGCTGCAGCAAAAGCGCTTTATTTTTGTTATGTTCATTCTTAGAATTGATGGGCAGTTTGCAGTTATGTCCTTGCAGCAGAAAGAGTGAAGGAGAAGTTAAGACTTCTGTTGAAAATAATGTGATTTTCTTCTCTGTACTGTAGGCCCGTCCCTTGACTCGCTATTTGCCCATTAGAAAGGAAGACTTTGACCTACGAAGTCACATCGAAACAGCTGGTCACAACATAGAGACCTGTTACCATGTCTCCCTCACGGAGAAGACCTGCCGAGGCTTCCTGATTAAAATGGGAGGAAAAATTAAAACATGGAAAAAACGATGGTTTGTTTTTGACAGAAACAAGAGAACTTTTACTTATTATGCAGGTAGGTTGCAGGATCACTACTAGGGTACATCTGTCCCTCTATTTTCCAGTCAACCTCAGCTGAGTTTTGAACATGTAGGGAGTCCCAAATAAAACTTACTTTTTCATTGACTTGGGTGTTTTACGTGTACACTTAGAGCTCATGCAATCCCTTCCCTATAGTGTTCAGTCCTAAAGGCAGGTAAGGCAGAAGTGAGCATAACAAAGGGAGAGATGTGGATAGGCAAGAGGAAAAAATGGAAGATTATCAGGTTCCTAGTACACAGAATAATGGCTCCACATAATTTATTTTAAAATATTACATACTTTCCCCCAATGACAGAATGATTTCTTGTACCTTTCATACAAGAATATAATTTATTATGCTTACCCTGAAAATTAAATTGAATGCTTCTGCAGTCCCGTTACTTGATGTGCTGAAAAGTCTTTCAGGAAATTAAATATACAGGAGTAGTTTGCCATGTTTTGAGAGTCTAAGGAATTTCAAATGAACAACATGCAATACTCTAAAGAGGTTTCTGTACACAAAGTTGTGTTACATGTGGAGCCGTTATAAGCATTACGTTAGTTTGTTATCTTAGGGTAAACCCAGAAATTTGGAATTTAAGAACATATATGTCTGGTTGCTGTGCAAGTCTACACGTGGTTTGAGTTTGAAGTTTCAGAGGAAGCCAGAAAAATGACTTTGTGTTCTGAATATTTATTGTTAGGAGAGGCCAGACAGGAGTGTATGTAGGATGGTCATTGCTAAGAAGCAGAAGAAAGCATTGGGTACAAAAACCACCCAAACAGTTCCATTTCCTTTTGTGACATTACTGCTTTCCAGCAACTCATAAGGAACTTAAAATTGATGGTAGCGTTATGCATTGCTCAGTCCATCTTTTTTTAAAACGCATATTTGAATTCATTACATTAATTCATTACATACCCACTGAGTATTTCATAATAGTTTGCGGTAATACTATGAAGAATGTGACAAACTTTTTTTTTTAATTTTGTTCTTAACATCTGGTTTATTGGTTAGCAAGGCCTATAAGATACAGTAGTGTTTCCATCTGGTACTGATATTTTTTTTTTTGGTAGTTATGTTAATAGTTAAGAGTTTCAGTTTTGACTGCAATATAGTTGCCATAATGCAATTTCAATTACCAAAGAAAACTTTTCATAACGTTAAAATGACTCCAGCCAACAAACATAGTTTCATGAGAATTCTGTACCAGCTGCACAAAACTGCAGCTGCTTGTATGAGTGAGGATCCATCTAAATCTTTAAATATATAGTAGAGTTCCAAAATAAATATTGATGCTGTAAATTCAGAGTAATTGAAGTCCTAAGTGAATATACTGGTATATTATTTTGCAAGTGTACTGAACAAAGAACTTACCCTACAGTCTGACAATTTAGTGCAGCAACTGAAGCATCTGCACTTTCTGACCTGAAGCATACAGGGAACTCTACAAAGAGTGTTGCGATGGGAGCTCGTGGGTACCCGAAATGCTCTTGTAACCACGACCCCGGGTGAGGATTGAAAGGAGAGTGGATCGCTGTTTGCTTGCACTGCATAGACAGTATATTTTGTATATTGTTGCATTTAGCTTAGTATAATGTGTGCTATAATGTCGTAATCTTATACCACAGTACTGGTCCCCGGGGCCTGGCAGGGAGATTCCCAGTGGTGTATCATTTGGTCTCTGGGATTTCTTTTTGCCATCATATGAAGCTTTCAAAACTGCCTGCAGCTACCGATAGGATGTAAGCTGAGTTCCGTGAGTGTTCAAAATGACAGCAGAATATCTCGTGGGACTGATAAAGATGTTCTGCATGACTGTTCAGTGTTAAGGTGATACTAACTTGGGGTCAGAAGGCATTATATTCCCCTAATATAGAAGTACTGGGAGTGGAAGGAAGTTTGCCCTTCAGTGTCACATGCAGTTGTGATGCTTCTTAACAGCCTCTGGGATTATTTAACAATTTCTCTTCTATTGCAGGAAAACAGAGGGTACTGTAGATGCCTATCTGCCCTGTTCCTTTTTCTTGTGAAACATTATAGTTGTGACTGTTCAGATTTTAAGTTCACAGTCTGTATCCTCCTTGCCCTAATGATTCAGTAGCTAAAGCTGGGACAGAAGGCAGTATCAGAAGATGTCTAAAATAGTTTAAATTGACCCCCTGCAAGTGTCTGCTTCTTTCCATTGCCTTTGAAGGAAGATTAAGTCAGCTGTTACCTCTGTTGTAGATATCAAAACTTAAGTGAGAAGACTCTCACCCTGTATTTCAGCTTTGCTGCAGGGGGATAATGGTACCAGAAATGCAGTACCATTGGATAACACCTACTCCTCGTTAGCAGCCTCCCTGGAGTAACAATCATAGAAAGGTTTGGTTGGAAGGGCCCTTAAAGCCCAGTTCCAATCCCCCTGCCATGGGCAGGGACACCTCCCACCAGACCAGGTGGCTCAAAGCCCCATCTAACCTGGCCTTGAACACTTCCAGGGATGGGGCAGCCACAGCTTCTCTGGGCAACCTGTGCCAGGACCTCACCACCCTCATAGCAAAGAATTTCTTCCTAATATCTAACCTAAGTATTCCCTCTTCCAGTTTAAAGCCATTGCCCCTTGTCCTATCGCTACCTGCCCTTGTAAAAAATCCCTCCCCAGCTTTCTTGTAGGCCCCTTTAGGTACTGGAAGGCTGCTCTAAGGTCTCCCTGGAGCCTTCTCTTCTCCAGGCTGAACAACCCCAACTCTCAGCTTTTCTGAGGCTCTCAGCCTCTCTCAGCCCTGAACATCCATTTAGGTGTTCTTACCTTGGGTGCTCTGAAGCAAAGATAGAGTTCTCTTTGGCAAGAGGGGCAAACTGCATCTAATTAATTTGGCTTTTACCTTGGGTGTCAGAGTAGGAGAGTGCAAACACACAGTTATGATGCTGCAGGTGGTGCCCAGGAACTTTTAGCCTCCTATAAACTTTTCCATGTGTCAGAGCTCATAGAAGCTTGCCTACAATCTGCTAACCTCACATTTGAATAATAAATACTAGCTTGAGGCCGAAGGAGATTATTATAAATGGGAAGAAACATATTTTTTTTTTTAGTAAGTACAAGCACAAATAATGTTCTAATGTAAAGCTTTTGCTACCAAATTGTATTTCAGATTTGCTTATCATAACAGTTTTCCTTTGAAGGCAAAGTGTAGGTCTTAGCCTGCAAGCTATGTGAAGTCTGGCTGACTTTCATGGTATTGGAAGAGTGGCTGTATCTGAGAGATGTCTGTCCTTCTGTGGACTGATACCAGCCATAATGTTTAGACACTACAGTGAAGGGAGTGATTTGCAAATAGATGAGGAAATTGCAAAAGCTTTATTTCCCTGGAAACTAGGTGGAAAAGAAAACATATTAAAGTAGGAAATGCATCTCTCTACAAAACTGACCAACTATTAAGAAAGGTTGAAGATTTCTATTGGATTTCACAAGCAGAAGCGTTAATCCAGTTACTTATCAGCTGAACATACATGAAAATGCAAATTAAGCTTTTGTTTCTTGAAGTACTGTTCATTTCAGTTCTCAAGTCATTCTCTTTTCCATTTTTAGACAAACACGAAACTAAATTGAAAGGTGTAATATATTTTCAAGCTATTGAAGAAGTCTACTATGATCATCTAAAGAATGCATATAAGGTAAACTTTGTTGTTGTTTTAACTGAGTATCATAAAGCAGTACCCAATGTATGGTAGCTGCTGTAAAGTCAAAGGGAGAGCTGACATTACTGGAAAAAACAAACAAACAAAAAAAACCCGAAGCAGAGAAAAAGGAAGATGAAGCGAGATCAGTAGTTAGCACTTTTTTCTTTTTTTTTTTTTTTAAAAAAAAATATACTAATGAAAGCAGAGATAAGAGCGTCTACCTGCCAAGCAGGATTTGCTGTGAGGAATTCCTTAGTCCAGTGGCGAGGCCACTGAAATCGGTGGCTTTGGCAAATCAAGGGATGGCTGCAATGCCTCCGTCCCGGGGAGGGAGTTAACTGGTGCCAGCAGCTCATGACACCCCTTCCCTCTCATCTGTAATTTATATGAGCTGTGAACAAGCTGAATATATCCTTTGCACTGGATTTGTGAAAGCCAAGGTGGTTTTGAGCACTGGACAGAGTGGGGGAGTTCCTTATTTGGGCATGAAACAACAGTTCGGAGCCCTCTACTACTGTGTAATAGTCTAGTGGCAATATGTTGTGAAAAGTGTTTGAGGTAGATACAAACACTTTAAACACATCTCTGCTTCCGCTGCTGCAATGTAGGAAGCAGCAGTACAGCACTTTGCATTTTATCTTTCTCCTTAACCCTAGCGTAAATCTCCCTGTAAGTAATTTCACTTCTGGCACCAATAAATGGCTTTGATTTCATTCTTTTGATATCCTTCCTTCTGTTTTATTTTAGAGTCCCAACCCGTTGCTCACTTTCAGTGTTAAGACACATGACCGGATATATTATATGGTTGCTCCGTCGCCAGAAGCCATGAGGATATGGATGGATGTTATTGTTACAGGCGCAGAAGGCTACACCCACTTCATGTTGTAATAAAAGGAGGGCAATAGGGCATACTGCAATAACGTAACATATGAAGTTAGCCATATCTAGTGAAATCTGAAAAGCCAGTGAATACTCTGAAATGTCCTCCTTATGATGTGCACCTGAAACCTTGGAACGAGAGGGGTTTACAAATGCATTGAAAAGGGGGGGTTGTTACTTGTTTTAGTTGAACTTTATAGGGATGAAAGAGCTAAAGCTGTTGAGAGAATCGTAGCGCTCCCAAAATGGGTAATCGGGCCATTTTAGTTACAGCATTCAATGATTATTTCCTACAAATTCTCTTATACAGAGAATGTCTTCATAAAGTCATACTAAACAGTTTACAAACATGTGTGTTCTCATCAGTACGCAAAAATTCTAGTAACAGAACAAAAAGGTGTAAGAAGCATATATTTTAATATGCAGCATTTGACATTTATAGATGATTAGGTGACTTTTTAAAACTTTTAGTCAAGTATTTTATAAAAATACAAAGAAAAAGCAACCCTAAGGTCCACACAGTTCTTGCCTTAGTAGTTAAGTATTACAAGAGAGCCAAAGAGCTATACGATTCCCTTATCGTAATGTTTTCATATTGTTAGTTGTACCTAACTTTCTGTAAGGAGACAGTGCCAAAACTCTTCATAACTTTTAATGTAATTAAATTGTTAAGATATTCTGTGTGTTCCAGCACTCAGTGACACTGGCTGTATGTTTAAAGTCTGCATCTATGGAGCTCAACAAAAAAAGAGAAGGATAGCTTTATAAAGGTGCATTTTTCCACAAGGATATGAAATTATGTATTAACTTCCTCATAAGGAGAGGTTTTTTTTAATCTTCCCTGTTGAATAGAATGAGCTGATTCTAGACTGACCCTACAGCAATCTTCTTTTATGTAGTAAGGTCCCAGCGTGGTTCTAACCTTGCTCTGTGCCAAGTGAACGCTCTACAGAAACTTCTCAAACATTGGTCCCCTTGAAGCCCACATCAAAATCTCTATCTACCTAAACTCTTTGGAGCGAAGTTTTCAGCCACAGAGAGTTTTTTTAAAATGCGTATCTGCACAGAATAATGCTGTCAAATAGAAGAAAAAGAGAGAGGCAGGTTCTAAGACGTTACGCTAAGCAGTGTATGAATAAAACGCCCTGAAAATTTTAAGAAGCAGAGATTGAGACTCCTAAAACAATAAAAATACTGAGGGTGCAGTGGTCTCCCATTTTAAAATCACTTCCAAGTCCTTGAGTAATATTGCAAAAACATAAATTATTTAATTGAACTGAACTTCAAGCAAGTCTGTTATATTATGACTTTAAAGAGGTTCTATTTCAGTAATCAAAACTTATGTGCTATGTGGTTTGTGTAACAGAAGAAAGCAGATTAGCCTTTTTTTTTCCTGATGAAAAGTTAATGGCTTTTGATGGAACAAATAAAAAACTGAAAGCAGAATATAGAAGTATGCTGGCAGAATATTTTTGTTATACTTTTTAAACCCTGTTATCTGTAATGAACAGGTTGAATTTTTGTGGTACACACAGGTGGTATGGTCGCTCTAGCACGACAAACATCACTTTCAACTTGCATCATGAAAGGGACTGTTACCACAAGATATCATCTGTGCAGATCACAGCTTGTAATCTAATGATTTAAAACACTATCAGAAATAAATTGCTTTGGTTTATATAATTATTTTTCCCTGATGTATCTTGATTTTACTCCTAAGTATGGTTATAAAGGTTTTCTAATATTGATTTTTGTATCCTGCATGATGCAATGAAGGCATTTCAATAAACATTTTTAAAAATACACTTGTTTTAAATATTCACTTGCTGCTTCATCTTGAGACAATTTCTGCTTGTCTTTTAAATAGTCAAATACAGTTGTGCAAGCAATTTTGTATTTCTTAGTAATGCTTAATCTACCCATTCTATGTATTTGCCATAAAAGAGCTGTGGAAAAGAGTCTTTCAGATGGCAGTGAGGTTAGGAATGTAGTCTGTTTACTGCATGTACATATAATACCTTTGTCATTTTTTATGACCCTGTTTGAAAAATTTATCACCAGCCTTGGATATAGATAATATAGACAAATTTTTTTGTATAACTGCAAAACAGAAGTTGCTGAAGTTTAAGGGTTTCCCGGTCTTCCCAGTATTTGACTTGGACATGTATTGCAGGAAGCATTAGCTCATTGTAGAAGCCCATGTGGTTTTATGATGGGTTTTTTTTTTCCCCAGTGAGTTTGCTATCATCACCAAGTGTTGGTGGGTTTTGCAGTGATGGACATCAAGACAACGTAAAGCAAAGCATGGCCGTAGGTACCGTCTTTTATGATCAATCTGCGAGCCCTCCAAGCTTACCCCCATGGGAGTCAGGTACCCACTTACCCTGGAGGATGTCAGGCAATCGCAGACCACGTAAGCTGTGTCTTAAAAACCTGGGCTGCTGCCTCCCGTGACCTACAGCTGCTGACAGGGGCTGGCCTCGCCCTTGCCCGGGAAAAGCCCCTTACCTGTGCAGCCACTGACCTTTTGTAGCGGTTTTTTCCTTTCTGGGTGGGTGCCATCGCCGGTATATAAAAGGTACAGCACATAAACACCTTGTTTTGACTGCTGTGCCCCTACCGCTAAGGCTGAGTAGAGATGGGTAAGGAGGTACGAGCTGGTTCAAACGCCCCGCAGGCCGAGGGACAGCCAGGCCCTGATGCCTCTGGAGACGTGACCCAGGGACAATGGGCTTTGAAATATCATAGAATCATTATGGTTGGAAGAGACCTCAAAGATCATCAAGTCCAACCGTACACCTGATGCCACCCTGTCCACTAAACCATGTCTCGAAGTGCCACATCTAAACGTTTTTTGAACATCTCCAGGGACGATGACTCCACCACCTCCCTAGGGAGCCTGTTCCAATGCCTAACGACTCTGACAGTGAAGAAGTTCTTTCTAATGTCGAGATGTCCTTTCTGGCCATCTGCCGGGGCCAGGTAATTGTGTGCATGCCATTATATATGTATATATTACAAAATGTAAACTTCCTAACGGTTTATACCCATATATGTACAGGCAACCCGAAGGGCAGGGGTTTCCTGACAGGGTCTTGCCAGCCTTGCCTGGTAGAGGCCTTCAAGGAGGGTGTCCCCCCCCACACACGCACCTAGGGAAACGC